ATTTACATAAAAGTAAGATTTTAGTACCTTTAGTCTAATAAAATTCACTTTAGTAGTTTAATGCTATACAGGAAAAAGTCTGAAATAGTGTAAACAGGTAGTCAGATTTTAAATGTTCAGTTGCCTACATATGGAAGAAATACTTTTTCTAGGGAGAAGGGAAAATCTGAAAAATGTGTAATATTAAATTTTTCTTTGTAGTTTTATTTAATTATATATTTAATTCAACCCTGTGTTTTGTTCCATTATTCTTTTAGGGCAATTAAAATAGTCATGGAAACTGTTTGCAATGTTATTGAACGGCATTAACCCACAATCTTTTAAAAATACAAAATATATAAGTATTGCAGGTGTAGTGATGGTTTGTGTCGTTCTGCGTTACATGAAATATCGTTGGACAAAAGAAGAGGAGGAAACAAGGCAGATGTATGATATGGTAGTAAAGATTATAGGTATGGTATTTGTAAAACATCTATACTATTTTTAGAACAGTCATTGTATGGTAAATGTCAACATATGAAGTGATTGATTAACGAGTAAAGTTGTTTGATTTATTTTCAGATGTTTTACGAAGTCATAATGAAGCTTGCCAGGAAAACAAAGATTTACAACCTTACATGCCTATTCCACATGTGCGAGACTCCTTAATACAGCCTCATGACAGGTGTGTTCAAACATTGTGAATTGAAGTAAATCAGAATGTAGTCTTCTATAGTGTTGAAAATTATATTGAAAGTGATGACACTTCTCAGCTAGATCAGTTTTGCTGTACAGACTTAAAATATTTGACATTTTCATTTCTTTCTGAATTTTCTTCATTTTTCCTCCTGATTTTGAATGGCATAATAGACAACTGGGTTTCTAAATCACTCTCATTCCTATACTTCTTGATTTTTTTTGTTGTCAGTCTCCATCTTACTTCCTTGAATTTCACCTTAAACACAATAGCCAGTGCTGTTTTACTAAGGTTTTTAAATACTTACTATGTTGTTAATGAGGCTTTTAAAATAAAAACTACAAAATAACTTTGAAATTGGATGATGCCATATTCTAAAACAGAATTCTTAACTCTAGCAGCACATCATAGTCACCAGTGGAGCTTGTAGATTTAAAAACAAAACAAAACAAAAGCAACATGCTCATACTTCACCTCTGGAAATTGAAATCTAGTAAAGCTGGAGCTGAGGTACAGGTATCTAAATCTTTTAAACTCTGGGAGCAGTAATGAGAACAGCCAGAATTAACATTAACCATTACTTCACATGCTGTCATTTAAAAAAAAAAACGATAAGCCAAGGTGATAGTAAATTTGTTATTTTGTTCACATAATAGGAAAAAAATGAAGAAAGTCTGGGATAGAGCTGTTGACTTCCTTGCCGCCAATGAGTCTAGAGTTCTCACGGAAACATGAAGAATAGGTGGTGCAGATTTTCTAGTATGGAGGTGGATCCAGCCCTCTGCATCCTGTGATAAAATATTAGTAATACCTTCTAAAGTATGGCAAGGTCAAGGTATGCATTTTTAAGCCCTGCTCCAAGTGATTTTCTTCTAATTTTTCAGAACAACAGTATATGTTTGAGTGAAACAGTGCATTCAAAAGTGTATGAAGGCAAAACTCCCTTTACAGTTCCATCCTGTAGAAGGAGTCAAGGGAGCTTCTTTTGTATTCTTTTATATTTTTTCCTTGCTAATGCAAACATAAATGGTTTGTCTTTACTATAATAAAGACATGCCTTTTATTGTCCTTTTCATTTAACAAAGCAACTTAGCCTGAGGATCTAAGTGTGTTCTTTTCTTATAATTTCCCCATGCAAATAAGATAATAGTTTTTATATGTATATAACATTTACACATATATAACATATATATGTGGAATCATAAATTTTTAAACCTCTAGATTTTGCTTGACTGCCTCTTCTTTCTCACTAAGACCTCTCCTCTTGCATGACTCCCTGCCAAATATCTTTTGTGGGTATCTTTCCATAGTTTTCTTAATGTCTGTGTAGTTTT